CTGACAGTCCACAGCTCTGTCTGTCTCTGTACTCACTGTTTTCATTCAGGTTCTTCCACTAGTTGGTGCCTAATCCATTTCTATATACTTCCTTTCAAATCTCAGGGCTCCAGGATTATCTTCTGTATCTCTGTCAATTAGTTTCTCTTTTCTTTGTTGAAGAGGGTCTGTGTAGTTTGTCTGCCTATTCTGCCATCTTACCAGAAGTGAAAAAAATGGTACGTTTCTTGACTAATGTTAAGATTTGTGTATTTGATTTCATTATATGCTGTTCAAGGTGTCTTTGGGACTATAATTCTTTGACACGCCCAAAGACTAGGCCCATTATAGAATTCCTGCCATTAAAGGAAGCTTGACGTCCATGTTTATCAATTTAAAGCACCTGATCTGAGGATTTGGCATTGTCAGCCTTAATGTCAGAGATTTAGGAGAAGCTGGGCCTCCTGCAGAAACTCATTCTGGATGCTTTGATAATCAAGTAACCACATCACTCCATGAAAGGAGGAAGAGGCAACACATCCTCTCATTCTGCTTTCCTATTCCATACTTCTTCCCTTCAGAAAATGGATGTGTACCTGCTGCCTTCTGATGCTCATCTACTTCCTTCTTCTTGCTTCTGGTTCTTTATGTATATTTATGCTTTATTTTTATTAATGTCATGATGGACAAGGTATCTCAAGTCTTCCAGTCTATCACAACTCAAGACACATTAGAACAGACTGCGATGAATATTTTAAATTATTATTTAATAAACTTAAATATTTAAAATTTGAAATGACAAATTCAAATCTACTCTGTCAGAGCACCATGTTTTTTCCCAAGTACAATTCCTCTTTGAAATATTTCATCTATTCACTGTACATTCATTTAGTGTATTTATTAATTACCTGACATGTAAAGCAGTATGTTAGGCACAAGGGATATAATATTGAGTAGAATAGACAAAGCCCCTTTTCTTATGTAATTTATGTTCTACTCAAGGAAAGACACAGTGATAATTAGTTCTCATTTAAAGCTTAGAGTGTTATGAATATAAGTGCAGTGTGTCCTTATTTGGGATATCTAATCTATATAAGGATTCAAGAGGAAATAACAGAGGGAAATGGCAGTCTTAAAAAGGTGAAGAGAAAAGAGAAGAGATAAGACAGAGGGAACAGCATACGAAAAGGCCCTGAGGTGGTGAGAAGGACAGTGAATTGTTCATGCAAGTTCTTGTTAAGATTTTGGATTTTACTCTAATAACAATGGAAGTTCCTGAGTCATTATTAGTACAAGAGGAAATCTTCATGTATACACTGTATATTTTTTAAAAAATACATTTTGTTGGAATATAACTTATATAATGTGAAATAAATAAAACTAAAGTGATATGTGTCAATGCATTTTTTTTTTGCAGTGTTCCCTTCCTTCCCCTTAAAGTTTCCTTCTATATATAAACCTTTCCTTGACTTTTTACAATAATGAACTAATACTATGTTGTCCTTCTGTGACTGACTTATTTCACTCAGCATAATGTCCTCCAAGTTCATCCAGTTATGCGGTGTTTTGAACACTCTCAATTATTCTTTAGTGTCATATAGTTTATATAAATTAGTTTATATTATTTATAGTTTATATAAATTAATATATTAACCAAACCAAACTCACTGCCATCAAGTCAGATCCAACTCATAGCGACCCCTCCTTGGGTTTCTGAGGCAGTATCACTATGGAAGTATATGTATGTATATATTTGACTGATAATCAAAGCATGGACATTTGAATCAGGCAAACCTTAATGTGAATGCTTGTTCAGTGGCTTACTAACTGTATGACTTTGCAAAGATTACTTTATCCTCTGTGCTACAGTTTTCTCTTCAGTAAAGTAGGGATAATAATTATTCCCACTCCATACAGTTTCTAGGTATATTAAATTACATAATACATTAAAAATATTTAGTAAAGTACCTGGTATAGCAAGCATTCAGTATATGTTAGCCATTATACACATTACTTTGGGATTATTCCTGAATAGGTTTCAAGTGCTTAATGCCCTTTTCCTTTCCTCCATCTGATAAACATCCCCATATCATTTGCCAGATGTTCACATTTATAAAATCAGAATAACATAATATGGGCTTTCATTTTCCCAGGACTCATCATGTCCAATGGCCGGGAATGGAAGGAGCAAAGAAGGTTTGCCCTGACTACATTCAGGAACTTTGGTTTAGGAAAGAAGAGCTTAGAAGAACGCATTCAGGAGGAGGTCCACTACCTCATCGAGGGAATAGAAGAGGAGAAAGGTGAGGGTTTCATAGGACAGGTGCAGGAGCTTGTGGAACAATCATTCATTGAACAGATACTTATTAAGTGCCTGGGTTCCTCTCCCGTGCCTAGCACTGTGCTAGGCATTAAAGGTATTAATAGTGAACAACTAACCACGGACTCTACCCTCATGGATTCATGACACGAAGACAGGCATTAAACACATTACTGAATTTAAACCCAAACCATAAATTTGACTCCACTAGCATTACCTGAGTACTTGCTTTTTGTCTGAGCCTGTGCAGGGTGCTGTGTGCAGAGCCTCATATGTGGTATGTCATATAGTGTACACTCTCCTTAGAAAGCAGAAACAAATCACTCTGAAGGATCCATCTCTTCCTTCCTCTGCCTCCAGGACAGCCTTTTGACCCTCACTTCAAGATCAACAATGCAGTTTCCAATATCATTTGCTCCATTACTTTTGGGGAGCGTTTTGAGTACCAGGATGGTCAGTTTCAGGAACTGCTGAAGTTGCTGGATGAAGCCTCATATCTGCAAACTGGAAGGTGCTGCCAAGTAAGCAATTCTCTTTCCATATCTTGCTTAGGATTTTGGGGCTGGTGTCTGATACAGATGATTTCTTCCCTTTTTATTCATTTTTAGCTAAAATATAACCTTTTCAATGAACTTCAACAAAAATGAATCTGAAATCAATTTATTAATTTTACTTTTTTTAATAACACTAAATATTATTTAGTGAGAATGGCCAGACTTCCTCTCGTGTACTTTGGTCATGTTGTCAGAAGAAACTATTCTCAGAAGGCAATGCTTGGTAACTAGAGATTCAGTAAGAAAATTGGGAAGACCCTCAAAGAGATGAAATGACACATTGGCTGTCTTGATGGGCTCCAGAATAGCAAATATTCTGAGGATGGCACATGCCAAAGGGGCGGGGAGTGCACATCTTCTGACCTTTTCTAACCCCACAAGAGAAAGACAGAAATCACGATCAGTTTAAGAATAACCGCACCCCTGAAAGTGTGTACGCCAGTCACTTCATGCCTTTATCTTCCCCCATTTTAGATAGCAAATTTCTAATTTGCCCATCCCTATCAAACCAGTACTCTGAGATAAGCACGTTCTTTTCTCTGGAGAATCTTCTGTTCTGCTTGGAAACTTTGGGAATCTGCATCCATAAACAAGCAAAGCCCAGCCCAGTGCAAGCCATCAAATTACAGCAACTTAACACCAGCTCAGTGTCAAACATCTTCCTCTTCATTTGGTTAGGTTCTTGTCAGCTCAGGCCTAGCCATCCCACCTAGGTCATGGGTACTAGCTGCCAAGTTTGGGAGTCACACTCTTCCCTTCACTTCAGACCAGCCAGCACCTTCTCTCTCTCATCCTCAGTCCTCGGGGACTATTTCAATGCCCGTAAGCTCATAACTCCTTGCATTTCAGACCAGCCAGCCCTTTTTGTCATCCTTAGCCTCTGTGGCCTAGGTCAAAGAGTACCAAACTTGGCCCATTTCTTCTTTGCTGCACTTCCCCCATTTCTGCTCAAATGGAACCAGGTGGTCACAAGCGAGTAGCATACAAACCTATTTCTCACTGCGTCCTTTAACTTTCAGGGGTTTCTCTCATGGATCATGACTTTCCTGCCTCGATGCACCCAAAGCCTAACTACTTGGATGAAATTCAAAAAAGCCAAGCAGTCTTTATTATTATTATTATTTTGTAGGTCCTGTCTTCAAATGCAGATCTTCTGTTCTCTCAGTTGTTCTAGTTGGGGCTCAAGTTTTCTACCTAAGCCCCTAATACTCTACTCACAGGGCTTGAAACAAAAGACTGTCTCTGCTGGACAAATTCTATTTCCCCTTTTAACATATCCAATCAAGTATCAGCTGAAGGCACACTTATGTGCTCTCTGTTATCCATACCCTATAATAATTTCTAATGTACAAGCAGGTAAGAGAAAATTCAATACCCATAGTACATTCAGATAAACATATAATCCTTTTTAAGACATTCCAGGTTCATCTCTTTACATTGATTACCTTCTCACTCTATGTATATGGCTTTGAGCCTTTGTCTGGGTGTAACCAAAAGCCCTAGCCTCTGGATCAATTCTCTCCTTTAATAGGTAACACTAACCAAAGTAACCACTTAAAAATCCAAAATTTCACTTCCCAGGCTCCTTCCTTCTTTGTTTTACAAAGTCCCATACTTCTTCTCTGAGTCTGGAGCCACTGCAATGAATCCCACCACTTCTGACACCAACTGTTCCTCCTGCAGCTCCCACCACCTCTTTGCTGGGTTTGATAATTCACTGCAGTGGCCACACAACACTCACAAATTATGGGGTTTATTAGGGAAGCACCAGACTACAATTCAAGTTCAGAAACATGCTCAGTCTCTCCCAGCCCTTCGTCTTTCAACCAACAGTCTCTCTCAGTCTGTCTCCCAGTAGTGTGTGTCTCTCAGTCTCTCTCAGCAGCACATGTCTCTCAAATCTATCTCTCAGCAATGTGTGTCTTTCACATTTCCCAGCTGGCAGTGAGAGAGATTTCTTCTGTCTCCAGGAGGGCTCCTTTTGAGCCTGGAAAAGTGGTCAAACTAACCAATCAAATATCAGAATTCTATACACCTGAGAGAGAGAGAACTTCCCAGAAAGTTGCTTCATGTCACTCTTAGCAGAAATACCCCAGGTGGATAACTTTAACAATCAGGAGCTACTCATGGCAAATCCCACCAAAGAGCTGATTTGCAGTCATTATAGGGAATAACTACTACCAGCTGCTCAGCCAAGTTGACACCTGACCTTAACTACCACGCCACCCCAAACAGACATGGATATTAGGATTTGCAATGCATCACAAAATGGAAGATGATGGCTAGAAGGACCACATCAAGCAATTAATCACAGTGCAGTACTGGACAATATTTAGTTCTGCTATAGATAGGGTGGGAGCTCTGGTAGCACAGTGCCTAAGGCACTTGACTGCTAATCAGAAGGCTGGCAGTTCAAACCCACCAGCCACTCCTTGGAAGGAAGATGGGGCAATCTACTTCCATAGTGATACTGCCTCGGAAACCTAAGGAAGGGGTCACTATGAGTCAGATCTGACTTGACGGTATGTAACAACAACAACATAGATAGGGTGACTATGAGTTTTAGCCAAGTCTATGGCACTTACAACAACAACAAAAAAACAGTTATACAAAGAGCATTTCCAACATTTATGTAAGGTACAGACTTTTATCATGTGTACACCTATGCATCTATCTCATGGCAGAAGGCAGGAAAGCCAGGGCCAATGGCACCTAGATCCAGGTAAGGGGAAGGAAAGAGCACCAACCCAAGGCAGGAACCAGGAAAGCAAGGGCTGATGGCAGCTGGATCCAGGTAAGGGGAGAGCAGAGAGACTTGGAATAGCTAATGGAGACAAACTTGTCTGTCTCAAATGCCAGTGGGGTTGCCTGTGATGCACAGGTTTCAGCAGAGCGTCCAGACAGAAACAGATTCAGAAGAAGGAAGAGGCCATCCACTTCTCAAATAATTGGTCAGGGAAAACATTATGAATAGTAGAGAAACACTGTCTGATACATTACTGGACAACTTTATGAATAGCCCTGAAACATTGTCCAATACAGTGCTGGAAGGTGAGCCCCTTAGGTTGGAGGGCACTCCAAATATGACTGGGAAAGAGCTGCCTCATCAGAGTAGAGACTACCTTAATGATGTGGTTAGAGTAAAGCTTTCAGGACCTCTGTTAGCTGACGTGGCACAACTCAAAAGGAGGAGAAACAGCTGCAAATATCCATTATCAGAACAAGGAATGTATGAAGTATGAATCTAGAAAAAAAGGAAGTTGTCAAATATGAAATGGAATGCATAAGACTTGATATCCTAGGAATTAGTGAGCTGAAATGGACCAATTTTGGCCATTTTGAATCAGACAACCATATGATCGACTATGCCAAGAATGACAAATTGAAGAGGAATGGTGTGGCATTCATCATCACATAGAATGTTTTAAGGTATGTCCTGAAGTACAATTCTGTCAGTGATAGGATACCCCTACAAGGAAGGCCAGTTATTACTACTATTATTCAAATTTACACACCAACATCAAAGCCAAAGGTGAGGAAATTGAAGATTTTTACAACTTCTGCAATCTGAAATTGACCAAACATGCAATCAAGATGTGTTTATTATCATTGGTTATTGGAATGCAAAAGTTGGAAGCAAAGAAGAATCACCTGCAGTTGGAAAATAGCTTTGGTAATAGAAATAATGGTGGAAGTCGCATGATAGAACTTTGCAAGACTAATGACTTATTCATTGCAAAGACCTTTTTTCAACAACACAAATGGTGGCTATACACATGGACTTTTCCAGATGGAGTACACAGGACTCAGATAGACTACATCTGTGGCAAGAGGCGATGGAAAAGCTCAATATCTTCAGCCAGAATGAGGCCAGGAGCTGATTGTGGAACAGACCATCAACTGCTCATATGCAAGTTCACGTTGAAGCTGAAAACAGTTAAAATGAGTCCACAAGAGCCAAAATATGACCTTGAATAGATCCCTTCTCAATTTAGAGACCACCTAAAAAATAAATTTGATGCATTGAACATCAGTGACCAAAAACTAGAGGAATTTTGGGATCACCTAAGAGCATCTCCCATGAAAAAAGCAAAAAGACACTAAAAAGACAGAAAATGAAGACCAAAATGGATGTCAGAGGAGACTATGAAACTTGACCTTGAGTAGAGAGTAGCTAAAGCAAATGGGAGAAATGACAAGGTAAATGAGCTGAACATAAGATTTCAAAGAACAGCTCAAAAAGACAAAATTATTATAATGAAATGTGCAAGGAACTGGAGTTAGAAAACCAGAAGGGAAGAACATGCACAACATTTCTCAGTCTGAAAGAGCTGAAGAAAAAAAATTAAGCTTTGAAATACAATGTTGAAAGATTCTATGGGAAAAATATTGAATGATGTGGGAAACATCAAAAGAAGATGGAAGGAATACATAGGGTCACAGTTCCAAAAAGAACTGGTCAATGTTCATCCATTTCAGGAAGTGGCATATGATCAAAAACTAATGGTATTGAAGGAAGAAGTGGAAAATGCACTGAAGGAAGTGGCAGAAAACAAAGCTCCAGGAATTGACACAATACCCATCGAGATGTTTCAGCAAACATGCCGTGCTGGAGGCACTCACTCGGTTATGCCAGCAGATTTGGAAGACAGCTACCTGGCCAACTGACTGAAAGAGATCTACATTTGTACACATTCCAAAGAAAGGTGATCCCAGAGAATATGGAAATTTCAAGCAGTATCATTAATACCACACGCAAGAAAGATCTTACTGAAGATAATTCAAAAATGGTTGCAGCAGTATATTGACAGAGATCTTCCAGAGGTACAAGCTGGATTCAGAAGAGGATGTGGAACTAGGGATATCTTTGCTGATGTCAGATGGATCTTGGCTCAAAGCAAAGAATACCAGAAAGCTGTTTACTTGTGTTTTATTGACTATGCAAAATCATTCAATTGTGTGGATCATAAGAAATTATGGATAACATTGAGAAGAATGAGAATTCTAGAACACTTAATTGTGCTCATGAAGAACCTGTTCATTGACCAGGAGGCTGTCATTCAAATAGAACAAGGGGACACTGCATGGTTAAAAATCAACATCATAGTTGTATCCTTTCACCATACTTATTCAATATGTATGCTGAGCAAATAACCCAAGAAGCTGGACTATGTGAAGAAGAAAGTGGCATCAAGATTGCTTTGCTTGCTGAAAGTGAGGATAACTTGAAGTACTTAC